TATATAATAAGAAATATTTATACAAATAAAAAACTTGATAAACTGTATTTCAAGTTACAAATAACATTAATATATTCAAAATCTTCAATAAGTATTAAATTTTTTAATTATATTCATTTTGACATTTTTTTGGTTTTTTTTTGTTTCTTATAAAAAAATCTTTTTATACATATAATAAAAACAACAAGCAATTTTGTATGTATGATGTAAAAAATGCTTAGGGATAAAAATGTTCTTCGAAAATATTCTTTCACCCTTCGAGACCTTTATGTAAATCCAAATTTATTAATATATAATCACGAAGCCGTGCGTACGCAGAAAAATCAATCAGTCACATGTCTAATATGAAAAATGCAGCAACATGGCACTCCTTATATTATACCGACGTATGATTTCTCTATTCATATTACGCATGAGGTAAATATTCCGGTTTATAAAAGTATAGTATGTGTATGTATGGAGGGGGGGGGAGGGGGAAGAGTGAAAGAAGATTTAAAATAGATTTCATTTGAAATAGATTGTATTCTCGGTCTATATATACATCTATATTTCTTTTTTTATATACAAATACAAAAATAACTTTAGACTTGGATCAAATTGTAATTAATTTAAGCAATCCATAGGTATTTGTCGTCATTTCACGTGAACATTAAAAACGTTATTTTGACAAATAACATCAACTGGCTATCTGGGAAATAATTTATTCAATTGACATTTGTATCAACTGTTTTGCTATCATGATAGAATTGTTTATTTTTTTTATTATAAATAATATGATGGAAAAGAAAATTTATTATAGATTAGAGACAACAATTATGTAACTATATAAAATTTTGCTTTATGAAATTCTGCTGATTAAATTAATCACTAATCAAGCATTGATTTTTTTCTGTAAATATTTTTCTGTAAATTTATTTATTTTTTATCGTTTTGGAAAATAAAATTAGAAACATGTAATATATTATATTTAATAAAAATTATTTTAAGTAATTCTATCGGTTGATATAATCGCGAATTAATTTATTAAACAGCATAGATTGTATTTTATTAATGTGCATAAAATTATTTAATTATTAATTAATTAATTACTTAATCAATTTAATAAATTAATTATTTCAAGTGAATTGCTTAAACATTTTTTTATTCATATAATCAAATAATTATCATTTTTTCAACTTTATTGTTCTTTCCATGTCGAAATCTATAAAATAAAAAATAAATAATTTGTTGTTATTTGTCGTAGAAGGAACAATAAAATTAAAATTAACAATTATTTGCTTATATGTATAAAGAAATTGTTAAGCAATTTTATCAGTTAAAATATAATCAATTTATTAAATAACATTATTTTTTATTAAAGTAAGTTAAAATAATTTATTTTTTGTTATTTAGAACGCGAAAGGAAAAATATAATTAGGAATGACAATTATTTAATTTAAAAAATTTCCTTTTATACAATTCTATCAACTGAATAAAATCGCTGCTATTCAATCAGGTGGAGTTCATGTTCGATTTGAATCACTTTTAGAGGTGCATGTGCCATCTAGCGAACATTCAGAAATACAATTGTTCATATTTCGGTCTAAAATGGTACGCGTGCTGCCATCTAACCGAAGAAATGGCAGAATTTCCGGCTTTTTTGAAACATGATTTATTGATTAGATCTGCTGACTGTAAGTACAGAAAGATAATTCAAGATTACCAAATATGCTTGTCATAGTCATATCGTTCTTATCATGTGTATAATCGCATCGTTTAAAGTACGCAATTTCTTTTAACATTGAAGTATCAGAGATACTTCCTAACCTGTTACGTTAAAAAAAGTGTCAATTTCGTCCTTGTATTTCAACATGTCACAACAATCAAATATTTTACGTAGTGAAGATGAATTGCTGCCGGAACTTAATATCTCGATGGGACAATTGTTATTAATGCAATTGACGACGCATGGTACTCGTATAGCACATGTAAGTTCATGATTGATTTAATTTTTGTTATTAATTTTGCATTATTAACACATAATTAACACATAATGTAATAGATTAATATCATTAACATACAATGTAATAGATTAATATACGATGTGTAGAAAATAATTGGAATCCTAATCTAGATTTGTTATATAATTTTTGCTATATAATCTACAATTTTCTATTACAATGACAATAAACTTTTTTGCCAGATAAATCCCCATACTGGCAAGGAGCAGACGTATCAACATATTTTAGACACTAGCCGGAAATTGGCAGTCTATCTGCAGAGAGAAGGACTAAAGACGAATGACACCGTGGCTGTGTGCAGCGAAAACAATCTGGAATTTTGTATTCCAGTATGTGCTGCGTTTTATCTGGGTGCTATTGCCTGTCCTTTAAATCCTCTATACAGTGAGAGAGAATTGAAACATGCACTGTCCATTTCAAAACCAAAGTATATTTTTATTTCGAAGATATCACTTAGTGGTATAAGAAAAATATTCAGAGAGTTACATTGGTCACCAAAAATCCTAATGCTTACTGATGGTAGCAACAATGTTTCATGGACGAGCATGTATAAAGTGATATCGAACGTCTCCAATGACGATGCAAATGCACTTCAAGCGGCTCCTGTCAATTTAGATGATCATGTAACAGCAATTTTATGTTCAAGTGGAACCACAGGACTACCAAAAGGCGTCATGTTGACGGATAAAAATATTACTACAGTCATACGCATGTTTATGAACACTAACGCAATTCAGGAAAATGGGGTTTCTCTGTCACTACTCCCATTCTTTCATGCATACTCCTTCGTCTTAATGGTACTTACCATATTAAGGGGAAACTGCAGTATTGTATTCTCACGCTTTGAGGAAGAGCTGTTCTTACAATACATTGAAAAATATAGAATTGAATATATGCCTATGGTGCCGTCGCTTATGGTATTTCTGGCTAAACATCCACTTGTGGATAAATATGATTTGTCCTGTGTTAAAACGATATGGTAAGCATATTACAAATTAGATACAAGATGTTTAAATCTTCGAGGAACATGCTGCAATTTACAAAATCAAAAATAAAAAAAACAAATGTTGACATATATGACAAATAGATGCTGAGTATATATTTGTTAATGATAAGCCCAAAAAGTAAGATATAAAAGAAGATTGCAAAGAGTAAAAAAAAGGCGAATATTCGTGAAATTAATATATACAGTTTGTTACATTGTTATATAAATTAATATCTTACATAACACATAAAAATAAAATTTTTTAATATTTTTCTATTTAGATATTGAAAATCATTATTTTAATAAAATTATGACATTTTTATAAATTTAATCAATTTATATAGACTCTGAAATTTAATAACATAGACATAGAATAACTTGTGTTTTATGGCAGTTTTTTTTTTAATATTACATACAGGAGTTCTGAATGGAACTATAATAAGCTGTGTTAAAACTTACACATAAAATGTGTTTATATCAGATATTAGATTTATTTCGAAAATTACTATGAATTATATAATTATTGAAGTTGCTTTAATTAGGAGTGGTGCAGCTCCATTATCGAAGGAAATTCAGCAGGCTGTCGCTAAGCGATTAAATATGAATATTACTGATGTTAAACAAGGCTACGGATTAACAGAAACTACTTTAGCTGTGTTGCGATCACCAGATGGAAAAGCAAAATTAGGCAGCGTTGGCGTAGTAGTTCCAGGCACATTAGGTAAGATTCTCGGGATTAGGAAAGTAGTGTCCGTTTTATTTAAAGCATAATTATACGCTTTAAATATCTACTACTATCATACAATATAGATTTGCAAATGTATTTTTTCTGAGTCATATTATTTTAGTCAAACATTTTTTATTATTTAATTGTAAATATTTACATTGCAGTATAGTATATTTATAGAGCAGTATTAGATAATATATTTTTGATAGTTCATTCTAATATTGATTCTTCTCCACAATATTCATTTCTTTCCACAATATGCAATATTTATAGTTTTAAGAGTGTATTTTTATATTAATATAAGAAATATAATTAATAGAATATATTGACAAAGTTTGACGATATATAATATTGATTTTTTTTTTTTAGCAAAGATAATACCAATTGGAGAATATGAGACGGATAAAACTTTAGGGCCGAATTGCGAAGGAGAATTATGTTTTAAAGGAGATTTAATAATGAAAGGTTATTATAACGACGAAGAATCCACTAAAGCGACAATTGACAAGGATGGTTGGTTACATACGGGAGATGTAGGATATTATGACGAAGATGGATACTTTTACATTGTCGATCGAATAAAGGAACTCATCAAATATAAAGGTTATCAGGTTCCACCAGCTGAGCTCGAAGCGATTTTGTTAACTTTTCCTGGTATACAAGATGCGGCCGTAATTGGCATACCGAATGACAAAAGTGGAGAGTTACCAATGGCCTTCATTGTAAAAGAAAAGAATTCTAATATTTGCGAAAAAGATATAATCCAGTATGTTAATGGTAAGAATTTTCAGTATTATATGTAATGAAACTGATCTAATAACAATATATGAAGCGTTTCTATTGCGTTCTTGTTTTAACCCTGATTAGAATTTTCATCATTTTGCAAAATTCTTTAGAAATAAAAAACAAAAATGTTTTAGCATCATTGGAAGAAATAAGCACTAGACTAGTTTTCTAAGCTTTTCTTTTGCAGTGTTAAATGGAAGTCCAAAAGTCTACTTTGTAGTGTCTTCAAAATTCTTAATATTTTCCGCTCAGTATATATATTATTATATTATTTTATTATTATATTATTATATTATTATATAATTTTAATGTGTTTATAAATTTTGTATATATATATATTGCATGTAACAAATATATTTTTATTCCAGAACGTGTATCAAATCCTAAGCGGCTTAGAGGTGGTATAAGATTTGTAGATAGTATTCCAAAGACTCCATCTGGTAAA